TTTTTGGAAATCACCAAGCGACCCCCACTTTAAAAAAACACTGTTTTATGGATAAACTGTGAGTTGGTAAAATGTTTACACTTAAAATTTCTTAAAACGATCACATTTAGAAACAAACCATTTTAAATTCTATATCAAATTGTATTTAAATAAATAAATAATAGTTGTTACATATTTGGACAAATTTAAATTAAACATTATATATGAATATTAGATAATAAATGGGAGAATTAATTTACCAAATGAAATATAAAAATAAGAAAAAAAGTAAAGTTCAGACTGACTTTAGGAATAATATTAAGCCCTTGAATATTGAAGAATAAAACATTTTGAAAGCAACGTTCATTTAAAGTTTGATGTTTATTATTTAAAAAAAATGAATGTGATATTTTTTTTTGTTTTTAAGATGCTGCTCGGACTGCCTTTAGAAATAGCTAGTTTTTTAGCCATTAATAATTGAATTATTGAATCAATTAAATATTTTTTTTACTATTTATATTTTCTTTATATAAAATAAATAGATAGAAAAATATATAAATAAATAAACATATAAAATGTGCAATAAACTATTAAAAACAGAAATATATATAATTAACATTATATATAGAAATAAATGGCAACATATACAGTTGAACAAAAAATTGGCCTCCTGTGAAATATAAATTATTTTTTAAATATTTACCAAGTGATGTTTAAGATTTTTTCAAGACATTTTAAAGATAATAATTTTGAAAACCGATTTCAAATAACAAATTTTTTTGTCTTTGCCTAGATGGCAGCACATATTTTTTTGTTATTTTGTAAGACACTAATAATCAGATTAAAGTTCTAATTTAAAGGCCTAACTAGGTTAATTAGTGTAACCAGGCAAGTTATGTTAATTAAGCAAGTGAATTCCAGTGAATGCAAATAATTATTTTTCATGAGTCTAACATCCATGTGTAAGAAAACATACAATATGACAAAAGTCATCTGACAAAAGTCAGAAAGATGAAGTCATCAGAAAAAAATAGCAATAAAAAAATTTGAAGCACCAAAAGCAGCCCATAATAACGTCAATTTGAATACTAATTAGGCTATTTTTGCTATCCATGAACTTTAAAAATGTTTTGTTTGTTTTTTTATAACAAAAACTTTAATTTCTTATGTATTTTTTAAATAAGTATTTTTTCATATTATTCTACATATTTAGCAAATCTTTTTGGTACCTCAAAAAGTGTGGTTATGATGACCATCCGACAAGCTAATCCAGCTAAAAATAGAGCTTTAAATGTCACTAAAATGCAGTATTTACAACTGCAAAAAGGTTCACTCTTTAAGACAAAGAACCACCCTTATAAGTAGAAAACTAATATAATAGGAAACACTGTGAAAAAATTCCATGCTCTGTGAAACATAACTTGGGAAATATTTTAAAAAGAAGGAGCTATAATACCAATAATAATTATGACTTCAACTGTACACCCCTAAAAACATTTAGCGTTATCAATAGAATGCTGCGCTAAACTCAATCAAAGATAGTTTTAATTAGCCAGTGCAACATTATCATTAGTATTCATTTATCATGTGCAGAGCAGCGGTGGCCCTTCAGTCACAGTCAAGAGCTCCAGCAGGTTCACACAGAGATCACGTTGCAGGAGACGGATCTGTTTACTTGTCGTGTGGCAAGGTTTTTAATTCTAAGCCTTGGGAATGAATCCCCAGAGAATAAAGCATAATTTCAGGCCACAGATGCCACTTGCTTATCTAAAAGGCAAAATACTGCAACGTGTTGAGGTCAGAATTATTAGCCCTCCTGGTAACTTTGAGTTCTTTTAGATTTATTCCTCAATTTCTGTTTAATGGAGAGAAGATTGTTATCAACACATTTCTGAACATGATAGTTTTAATAACTCATTTCCAGAGTTGGGTCTAATGCATTCCACGGTAACATGTTACTGTATTCTAAATACATTTTTGAGGAACACAGTAATGTAATGAATTATATTTTAAATTTGTCTAATCTGATTACTGTTACTAAAGTCAACGTAGTTGCGTTACTTAAGATACATATATAGATATATAGTTTTTGGAAGAAAAAACATGCTTCTTTTAGATAACTTTTTCTCCTGCAACATCAGTTAATAAGCATGCGCTTTTAAATAGCTGAAGAACGCGAGCTGCTGCTGTTGAGAGTGATTGCTTCTTCAAGTGGAAATACAGACATTACTTTGATTTCATTGAGCGTAAAAATACAAATATTGCTGTGAAATGCTGTCTAAAGAACTTTTGACTGCTTTTCAAGAGTTCACACTTAGCTGATGACTGATTATTAAGCTTGTTTGCTGTCCCGGTAGAGAGCCCGTTTGCAGGGCGAGAGTGAAGTTTGAGCTCAGGTAGATCTCGAGAACTAATGAACAGATAGTGATTGCTCTTAAAGGATAACTATTAATTAGAAGCATGTCTATAGTGCCGATTTGGATTAGTCAATTAACTTAGGTTGCATGTTTTTTGACGGTGGGAGGAAACCGGAGAACCCGGGGGAAAACCATGTGAGCACGAGGAGAACATGTAAACTCCGCACAGAAACGTTGGCTGGCCTGGTAAAGTCTAGAACCAGTGATGTTTTTGCTGTGAGGCAACAGTGCTAACCACTGGGCAACCGTGCCATCTAGGAAAGGAAAGGAGGAAAAGTAGGGGTGGAAGGAGGGATTCTTCAAAACGAAGATGGCTGTCATATGGAACTTAGGGTATTTATAGTGGCTTAGGAATCGTTTGGTAAATCATAAATTGAATAATGCAGGGCCAACTGCAAGCAATCGTAAGCCCGTGATCCTCTCGAAATTAGTTAATAAATAAACTTCACTTAACCAGCAACTTGTTCAAGCACTTGAACAGAAAGCATTCTACGAAATACTCATAACCAAGGAGGACATCGGCGCCCAAAAACATGGCGGCCCAACTCAGCCTAAATTCAATTTATGTGCAGGACACGTTTTCTGAAGAGTTGCATGTAATTTTAGATGACTTTAACTGCAGTTCGGCAGCTTCACTTTCACTTATGAACATATCAGTCATGCCCCTGTGACAAACTGGGCAATTAGACACAAATAAGGAGTTAGGACTGGTGGAAGAGTGTTGTTTGAATGGAATTTAATAACGCACGCCTAATGGAAAGAAAAAAACTTCAGCATTTCGCGATGTATGTGTGTGCGGTCTTTTACTGACAGCCACGTGTGTGGATCTTGTCGAGAAATATGGCGGAAAGTCCTACATGGCAGTAATAGTTTGACTGCGATGTTTACTTCAATAATGCCACTAATAAAGGCATACTCCACATGTCCTAATTCCATTTCTGTTTAGTTCAGCTATGACTTTAGTGGGATTAATCAAAAATCGCTATTTACATGGTGACTCTTAATCAAAGTATTGTCTTAATTGTATTAAAATATATCAAAGTATTAGCGTCCCATGTATATGTACTCAATGTTCGACTCAACCACACCGTCAGGGCTCTGCGAACTTGGCTTTGTGAAGCAGCATTTTCTGTATGCACGTACATCAAAAGCAATTATGCTATGGCCAGTGTTGCCAGACGTACGATAATTATGGTATTGGTACGATAATTTCGACATCAGTAAGATGTACGGTCAGTAATGAAAAAAAAATCCAATAGTGTACAATAATTAAAAAATTTCATGGCATTTAAAATGAATTTCATTGTAATCTTAGGACTTATTTACTTATTGATCTAGCTGCATCTTTTGTCTACTCTCTGTGAAGAGAATGTGGGTTTACGCACGTTTTCTTTCTCACTTATGTTTCATTTTATCAGCCAATCAACGTGGAGAATGGCTCTCTCTCGTAAGTTAACGTTTCTGCCGTGCGCGTCCGTGCTTAAGTCAGTCATTTTTAGGTTGAGGTTGATCGTTTACGCAATAAAGTTTTAAAAAGTAGTGCTGAAAAGGAAGGTGAGAAGGACAGGAGAGTTTGCACTTGGTGTTCTTGTTTTTCCCCCATTCTAATTCCTCATGTGAACGTGTTTTTCCAAAGTTAATCTCATCAGAACAAAGCCACGAAATCGGCTCATTAGAGATACTCTGAATAGGCTCGTGCACACCTCAGAGTGCGTTAAAAAATCGGGAAGGTGCACTGCTATCATGCCAACCAGCACTATGTTGGGGTCCCTGACGGCATCCGATTTGTACCCCAAAACAAATCCCTTAACATCCGGTTGTTGTTGGGTTGGGGGCTTAAGTGAAATTAGCCAATCTTTGGGGGGGGTCCTAAAAGGTTGAAAACCCCTAATCATAAGGCTAATCATTTTGACCTTAAAATTGTTTTAAACAGTTTAAAAACTGATCTTATTTGAGCCGAAATAAAACAAATAAGACTTTCTCCAGAAGAAAAAATATTATTCGCAAATACTGTGAAAAATTCCTTTCTCTGTTAAACATCATTTAGGAAACATTCGGAAAAACAAAACAATTCACAGAAGGGCTCATAATGTTGACTTCAACTGTATATAACGCACTCGCATGGCTCATTGAGCAGTTAAAAATGCTATGAATGACCTGCCAATGATGTCATTTCCAAAACAGCAGGCATTATGTCATCTTATTTATGTCTGCGAGAGTCAATAAACTTCAATGGTTTAATAAGATTACATCGCTGTTTGGTTAAAACATCAAATAACTACAACAAGCCATATTTCTCGGGCTCCAAATAAAGCGTCATGTGCTATTTATTTCACATGTGGCCGCAGGAAGCGACTTCCCACGCACAGACCAATTTGTTAGATGGAACGGCAAGGGCGGAAGTGGACAAAAACTTCCTTCGCCTCTCCTGTTACTTCACTGCAGCCAGAAAAACAGAGCTTGCAGAAACATCTGGAATACAATAGTCCCACTCCATAGCCACAGCTGGACAGAAAACCACCGAACACAGGAGGGGAAAAAGCAGCGGTAGCTTCTGACAGAATGATTGATGAACAGGTAGGAGGTCGCGGTCGGTCTTCTCACCTGCCTTTCCGTGAGATCCAGGTTTACTGCGATTTCGTAACGCCTCAATCTGGTCAAATAGTTGTGATGGGCGAATTCGGCCTCCAGTTCCCGAATCTGCTCTTTGGTGAAGGCCGTGCGCTCTTTCCTTGGCTTGCTGCTCACGTCCGATTTGTAATTCCCATCTTGGGACTCTTAAAAGAAACAACAAGAAGAGAACAGTTGATGGATGCCGATGGCTTTGAAATACCATCAGTTCATGTCTACTAGGGGTGAAGGATATTCGGGAAAAACTGACATTGCGATAATTTGTATATTTATATAGTTAAAGTCAGAATTATTAGCCCTCCTGTATATTTTTCCCCAATTTCTGTTTAACGAAGAGAAGATTTTTTCAACACATTTCTAAACATAATAGTTTTATTAACTCATTTCTAATAACTGATTTATTTTATCTTTGCCATGAAGACAGTAAATAATAATAATAATTTAATATTTTCATGATACTAGTATACAACTTAAAGTGCATTTTAAAGGCTTAACTAGGTTAATTAGGTTAACTAGGCAAGTTAGGGTAATTAGGCAAGTCATTGTATAACTGCGGTTTGTTCTGTAGACAATCGAAAACAAATATTGCTTAAGGGGGCTAATAATTTTGTTCTTAAAATGGTTTTAAAAAAAAATATAAAACTTCTTTTATTCTAGACGAAATAAAACAAATAAGACTTTCTCCAGAAGGAAAAAATATTATAGTAATTACTGTAGAAAAACTTGCTCTGTTAAACATCATTTGAGAAATATATTTTTAAAAAAATCACAGAGACAAATAATTTTGACTTCAACTGTACATTGCAATATGAATATACTATTACAAGATGACTTAAGTAAGTCTATTTGGAAAGAATTCATCATTTTACATTGACTGGGATGATTTTGTAGGGGAAATGCATGTGCATAAAATACGTAATATTACACAAAAATATACATGATATAATAAATTAAAGCAGAGCATTGGGAGCAGAAAGAGGGGAAGGATCGGTAGGGGAGTGCAGGGCACAAAGTAACCTGGGGTCAATGTAACAGATTTTAAGGTGTTTGCTCAGGGTTAACCATGGCATTCTTCCAAGGTTTTCACCACAGTGTCAGCAGACGTCTTCCTGCCAATTATTGAAAAAGTTTGGCGAAATTCGGATGGGGAACACAGAAGAAACCATTTATACAGCATAAAAGTTTTTATTATAGTAAATATTTTTTTTTATTTAAAAAAAATCTGTGAAAGTATGAACATAATATCTTATATTGTTGTGATCACCGTCTTCAAGGCTAAAAGATGAAACCATTTTGAAAGATGTAAAAAACACACAGTGACTGCTAGCCTGTTTTGAGGAAAACACGACACAGCGGGGTTAGTTCTAACAGGGTGTTACAATTATGCCACACACTGTTGGACACCAATAAACAAAATAATTGTTTGAATTTTGAGTGTAATGCCGAGAAATTTTGAAATAAAATGTTTTTAACAGAAAATATTTTATTGCTAATAATGCAAACAAATGCATTGTATAATAATGGATAATAATGCAAATAGACTCAAATGTGTTTATCCAATAAACAAATGAATAAACATACTGTGCTATGTATAATAAAAAAGAAATAAGCCAGTATACTGAGGAAATATAGCTGCTATTTAAAGTAAACTGAATTTAAATTAATTGTGTGAAATCTGCCTTTGTAAGCATGTGTTACAACTAACCCCCTGTCTGTTACAACTTGCCCCACAGGTAGGGTAAATAGTAACATTTTTACTCCTGGCACTTTTGGCAATACTGCACAGAACCCATAGGTCTGGTGATCATAATTTCTGTGCTCATTTGTAGGAGAGGCTTGTGTGTTATTGGTAAAAATATGGTTTGTCTATTACTTTGTTTATTATTTGACCAAAACCAAAAAGTGTTACTTTGTGACCCGCTCTCCCCTATAGGGAATTTAGCAGGTTGATTTAGCAGGTTGGCATGAGCAACATAGTGCCATATGTTGGCACACTTAACCCCTTTGGTTTCATTTGTTCATCTTCTTTTCTGCTTAGTGCCTTTATTATTCTAAGATCGCCACAGCAGAATAAACCGCCACTCATTCGCCATTCAGTGCCCTTCCAGCCACTGGGAAACATCCATACACTTTTATTCACACTCATACACTACAGACAATTTAGCTTGCCCAATTCACCTGTACCACATGTTTTTTGACCGTGGAGGAAACCGGAGCACCTAGAGGAAACCCACATGAACACGAGGAGAAACATGCAAACTCCACACAGAAACGCCAACTGACCCAGCTGAGGCTCGAACCAGCGACCTTCTTGCTGTGAGGCAATTGTGTTACCCACTGCGCCACCGCATCACCCCCACTTTAGTTTAATAGTTTCAATTTGCTTAAAATCTTACAGTCAAAGGCCTTAAAAGCACATCCAAAGCAAAATCTTTCAAACTATTTGATTGGAGTTCAACTGTGACACCACAGACCACATGTTTTGAACTAGCTCCTGGTTAATCATAATCCCAGCTTGACATTTCAGATCCTGCGATATGACTATTGCAGGTTTGCACATTTTACATTCAAATTTGATTTGTCACATAAACAGTCATATACTGTAGATTATGCTATATGCTTACACGACCACTCGTGACATTAAAATAATAACAATGACAAAAACAATAATAATAATAATAATAATAATAATACCTATCTTAATCATGGAGAAATCGAAGTTACACAATATAAAACAAATGCAAGTATAAAATATTTAAAGACTTTAGATATAGAGCCATGTTTCTCAACCATGTTCCTGGAGGACCACCAACACTACATGTTTTGGATGTCTCATTTGTCACTGCCAGCCATTACAGGTCTAGTCTCTGCTAATGAGTTGATGATCTGAATCAGGTGAGTTTAGTTAAGGAGACATGGAAAATATGCAGAGCTAGTGGTCCTCCAGGAACGTGGTTGAGAAACACTCATGTAAAATATGTGTCAGTAGAAAAAAAGTACAAAGTATAAAAATATAAAAGAGCTTTCTGTACAAGTGTAAACATAGAAGTGTTTCTAACAAAGTGCCTAGTGCATTAGCAAGGATGGAGTGTATCCTTCGATATCATACAACCCGATAGCAATGCTGAAAGGATAAGCCCAAATTTCAACGCAACCCATTCATTTTTCTTCATCTTAGTCCCTTTGTTCATCAGGGGTCGCCACAGAGGAGTGAACCACCAACTTATCCAATATATATTTTACACAGCAGATGTCCTTCTAGCTGCAACCCAGTACTGGGAAACACCCATACACACTCATTCACACACATACACTACGGCAATACACATTTAGTTTATTCAGTTAACCTATACTGAATGTCTTTGGACTGTGGAGAAAGCCAGAGGACCCGGAGAAAACCCATGTGAACATGCAAACTCCACATAGAAATGCTAACTGATCCAGCCAGAACTTGAACCAGCAACCTTCTTGCTGTGAGGCAACAGTGCTAACCACTGAGCCACCATTCCGCCCTCAACGCAACCCAATTAAAACCAATCACTGTAGGGTTGACATGGCAGAAATGTCAGATATAATACAGGAGAATGAGGAATACCGCCAGTCATATTTTGTTTTTACGATGGCGCGATCGTTCATGCCAGCTGTTTGTAAAAGCCAGCCCCAGCCGTGAGTTTTCATAAACCGCCACATCGATTCTCACAATGAGCTCTTTCCAAAGGCTTCGTTTTGACTCACTGTTAATGGAATCCGCTGCCCTTGTAGTTTTAATATGGAACAAAACAGCACCGGAGGATGTGTAAAAATATATTTCCTTAGTTTTTATTTACCTCAAAATTTTTACGAGCGTCTTCCACTCGCGGCTCGCGGGCTGCCAACTCGCTTACAATTTTCAGTGGACTGTTTCTTATTCCCTTCCTCGCTCTTTTGCTGTCAATTACAGTCAATTGCTTTCCCAAGTTTCAGATGTTTTTTTTTTTTTTTTTGGAGTGACAGAACATGAGCGCATAAAAGCACATAAATATACAATTACATGTGGTTCTTGCAAGAGCTCAATTACGTCAAGTCTAATCTCAAATGGGAAACACAAAAGGTCAGCGAGGAAATGTCAGATTACACCGGCAATCAATCCTAGCAAAGACACATGAAGTTCTGTTGCTTTGATGCAGAAGAAATGAAATTTTCTTCTTTTTTTTCTTAATGTAGGTTTTTTATGGTAACTGCAAGCTGCTGTGACTCACTTGCGAAGCTTTCTGCTTCACTTACAGTATCTATGGGTGTGGAGTGAGCGCTAATCCAACTAGCAATCCAAAACCAAAGCTGTAAATAGAGTCTGTTTAATGAAATCTTATCAGCGAGTGGTAAGGCCTGTTATGCCACTTCAACAGATATTTCAAATACATTTCATCTTAGTTGACTCAAAAATTTAAATTCACAGTGCTCACTGTAAAGCTGTCATAAAATTCTGTCACTCATTAGACAAAAAACATCTTATTATCTTTTTTCTTTCTTGTATAGATGAAGCAAATCAACAGATTTGTAATTTCCAATCAACTTCCATTGGTCAGCAAAAAATACAGCCCCGCCTCCAAGCCTACACCATTGGTTAAGACAGTGTTCATGTGTCAGGCTGGTTGAATTCTCAAGCAAATCTAACAATGTCACTGTGACTCATTTGGGGTTGTTGCTAGATGAGATACGGTTGCGGCCAGAAATTAACCAGAATTATTTATATCATTTATTAAATTAAACATTAATTATATTTTATTAAAGTCTCCCTAAACCCCACGTCACAGTAGTTATTTATAAATTTACCCATTAAATTACATTTTATTAACATCTACCCAATACCCCAACCCTAAACCCAACCCCCACAGTACTGTAAAAACTACTTCCCGAGCATTATTTATATTATTTATTAAATTACCCATTAAATTGTAATTTATTAGCATCTACCCTATACCCCAAACCCTAAACCCAACCCCCACAGTACTGTAAAAACTACTTCCCGAGCATTATTCATATAAGTATTTATTAAATTACCCATTAAATTGTAATTTATTAACGTATACCCTACCCCAAGCCTAAACCCAACCCCCACAGTACTGTAAAAACCGAAATTACACAGAATATTTTCCATGTTATTTAT